ATATTGTTGCCTCACCATTTTATCAGGTGCAATTCCTTTTTTTAACGTACACCAGCACTAGAATTAGATTCCCTTGCACCCAGTTTCTTATCAGGAATTGTGTTCTATCACTGGACTGTATCTCCAGAGGAAAAAGATGCGTTGTATTGGTCGTATAACTATTCCGGGTCTTAAGTTTAACCGTACGAATCTTTCCATCACGTCCACGGATCAATTCTGTAATTCGGGCTAAAGGCCAAAATAAACGTTTTTTGTTATCATCTCCCATCAGTACCATTTCTCCAACTACAGGTTCCCGAGATCATTTTTCATTATGCTTTTGAACCAGTTGACTAAGGTATTCTTTTCTTTTCTGAAGCGTTGTCGCAGATCATTTAACAGTTTAGTTCTATACTTATCATAATCTCTTATTAAGACTTGAATTTAATTCATCAAGATCTTCAACATTGGAATTTCTCTTCTCGATAAGAAACATAGTGGGTGTCAGAGGGATAAATTCCTGCGGATCTTCAGAAACATACGTTAAGGATCTACGATTAATTATAGGTTCACAATCACAAATAATAGTATAAAGTTCTTCATATGATTACACTAATTTACATAAAGTACGTTTCAGCAAGTCTTTTACTGTACGAACCAACCTCTCCCACCCGCCGCCCCACCAAGCTGCGGTAGGTGGAATAAATTTCTAGAGTATCTTTTCAATTCCCGTTTCCTTTAATACTTTAGCCCAATTTAGTTTTGATAAATCATTAGATGCACCCCTAAAATTTGTTCCGTTATCAGTATAGATTATTCTAGGGCGTCCGCGCCTAGCAAAAATCGTCGAAGCGCCAGGAGAAAATCGTAGAAGAAAGAGAATTTACGAGTGCAAGGTGAATGGCACGGTACACAGCGCAGGTGAAAGCGCGATCCACACCTTTCCTCATTTTTAAAAACAGCGGTTCGGCCAAATCAATCCCTATGATTTCGAATGGCGCACATCCGTAATCGTCTGGTGGCAGAAGTGTCGGTTCGCTTGACATAGCCTTAGTTTTTAAATCTTTTACAACGATACAGTTAAAGAGGACATTTTTAATGGCTTTTTCTAGCTCTGACTATCCAAAATCTGTCTCGTAATATACATTGTCATCTGAAGACCAGCATGACAGTTCTTATTATGCACATTCTGATTAATAACTTAGTGAAATCACATTTTTCTGGTAACAGATTGGATACAGAAAGGATTCAGGTCATCTCTATTTGTATTCTCGTTTTAACTCTTAGAATACATCATCATCAAGGCGTTTCAATAAAATTATAATATTTCTTATCAGTCAGATAATAATTTTGAACCAAACGAATTAAAAATTTTTCTCAGAATTTTCAATTCATACTGTGAAAGTCAATGTTTCCATTCTTTTCAGAACCCTTTACAATTATTTACAAATCTAAATATCCATGCAAATACTCTAAACATTTTATCATAATTGGATACACTGATTCGATGCCAAGGGGTGCGTTTTGATAGATCAATATTCACTATTTTATCTTTTTCCTCTCCAATTCTATTTCTTCATTGCAAACAAATAATATCAGTGGGCCAGTTTCAGGGCCTTCTCGCAACCTCAAGGGGCCTTCCCACCATCTAGACCGAAGCATTTGCTTCGCAAAACATCCGCGCGATAACAAGTCGGCAATATTAGTTTCCTGGGACATGTCTCAATGAATGTCCTCGCGTCAACTCTCGAATCTCTTACCCTATTTTCGACGAAAACGGACCAATTTCCTTGCTCTGTTTCCACCAAAGGGCAGTGGTGAATCAGACCAGAAGTAATTTTAAATCGGGAAACGAGAGCTTTGATAATAGAATTTGCAAGTCTAGAAACTATACAACAGGCCATTAATCTAAGCGAGGAATGCTTAAAGATTTCAAAGGCGATAATCTAGACTGCCCGTACGAGATTATTTTTACTTCAGAATTAAATATTGATCGAACAAAGACGCACGCTGATACGCCCCTTGCAAGATCCAAAACACTGTAGTTCAGACGGTCATTGATAAACAAGATCGAGGCCAAAGTAACATCTTTCAAAAATTAAGTTCTTTAAACCAGTTCAAAAAATATTACATCATTCGGAGACAATTCATCTCCCATGCAATTTTCACTTTCCACAATTTTTGAACAATAGTTTGGAAGCAAGGAGGCGTTATAAAACCAATAGGATCAAAAATTGTCTGCACAATGCAAAATGTCTCTTTGTGATTTTCGTATCACAGTCAATGTATCTGTATCTGTGCAGCACCTCAGTGTATCATTATCCAATTCAAATTCCAAATTACCCCAAAACGGAAGTATCCCCTGAATGTTTGTCGACATGTACCAGCCACATTGCTTCAACGCGCAGTTAAAAACATCCATTTGACATGATTAATTTGGAATGTTCATAAAAGAAACTGTTCATCAATACTACAGACATAGATAAACAATATCCACATAAAATGACCGATTTAATTTGCAAACTTCACTATATGACGTGGACAGTTTTCGAATAGATGCATTATAGATGTTAAAAAAGTGGGTGGAAGAATCCAAAACCACAACTCTGCATGCCTATAAATTAATTGCCCTCATTGCATGGGAAAAAAAATCTGAGAAAATCTCTATCTTTAGATGCGACGGAGAAACATTAAAAAAGCTTTTTAATATCGGCATAATACCATCGGATACATTCTAAAACGATTAGAAATCAGGCATTAAGTCAATAAGATTTATTCCTTACACAACATTCGTTCAAAGAGAGTTTCCTTTCTCAGAGCAGAAGCGTCAAAAACAGGACGAATTTCGTGGTTTCACTTCCTATTTGATTACAGGCCTATGCGGCAAATAATGACATTCATTATAATTCGTTTTCTGGTACGCGTTCAAATCTTCAACCTTTTCCATTCCTTGAACCACATTTGATATCATCGAAAAATTTACTACATCTGAGTTTATAGATCATCTTTTGATACCTTTCCAGGATAATTCTTTATCGTAAATATGTGTATCACATTTCACGGAAGTTCTACTTCATATCTTCCATCTGGAAGAATTTTATTTGTTCTCAATTCAGATAAATTAAAACTTCACATTTTAACAGTTTCGTTTGGAGCGCATATTCCTATTTTTTCAAGTTCTCATAACTCATTCAGAGGAATTCTCGACATGCATTGAAAATGTTTTCAAAAGATTATCCTTTTCACCCGAATTTCGTTTTCCAAATACCGTCCACCCAGTTTCGTTTCACCAGCCGTTAGCCCGGACTGTAATTCAATAGAATTCCGTCAATAATTTTCTATAATGCTCGATTAAAGGTTAATTCAGTTTTCGCAAGATCAGAAAATTCGATTTTTTCTTTTAATTATTCAAAAGCTCTTTATCTTTAACCTTAGGGAATAAAACCGCAATCTTTTTCGATAATGCCTCAAACTACATATCGTTTCAATTCAGTAAAAAACAGATCATTCAAAATTCTAGATAAACAAATGAAGAAAGGTTGCTTACCTTTATGATCCGCGTTTCTTCGATTCTGGTCCGCCGCTTTTGTAGACTCCGATTTGGTTTCCAAACTCATCTAAAATTGGCACTATTTTGTATGAATCACTTTATTTGACATTTGACACAAAAGAGGAACAATATCTAAATCATTACACTATCAAAAAACACTTCTAACTACTTAGCATCATTGTTCTACATATCTAACAGCGTCATTAGTCTACTGCGTCACTGTTCTAAAAGCATACACTTATCGTTGCCAGTTCTCAAAAAACAAACTTTCTTTTTCAATTCTCGTCGGTCTGGAGGCTCAATCCGTTCCCAAGAGCGGAGCGTGCGCCGTTCGCGACACACTCCCCCCGATGAGTTTCACCAAGTTGAAACTCAGCCACAGTCTGGTTGAAAGTTCATGAGGTTTAATCGTTCAGGAGTTCGAATCACTCGTCCACATCTAGTTGTTTTGAGGGGATTCTGATTGAGTTCATCTGACTGATCTTTGTCAGTGGCACGAAACTCTGTAGATCCAATAGAAGTTTGTAGGCTTATCACACATTTTTTGATCAGAATGCTTCTTTCTCAAACAGTCTCCTATATTATCCGTTTGTAAATGGACTTCCAACGGATAAATTCGTTGTATGGGTCGAAGGATTTCGCCACTTTTGGTGCGTAATTTTACTAAACGAACTACACCATCATTTCCTGGGATGAGTGTTATAATTTTTCCTAGAGGCCACTTAATTCTTTTCTCAGGTGTTTCTATTAACACAATGTCTCCAACCGATAGTTTAACATATTTCTCTGTTTTTAAAATATGGTTTTTCAGTTGTCCTAAGTATTCAGTTCTGAACCGTTTTCTTAGATCTTCTCTAACCTTCATCTGATATGCATACCTTTTTTGTAAGTATTTGGCATCAATAATATCTAGATCTGGAACGCCACTTTCTTTTAGATCACGAAAAAACATTGCAGGTGTCAAGGGTTCCAGTTCCAAGTCCTCGGAAATATAAGTTAATGGTCTGCAATTTAAGATATTTTCGCAATCACAGAGGATCGTATAGAGTTCTTCATATTTCAGTGAGGCATTACCTAAAACTTTTCTGAGAATGTTTTTCATCAGGCCAATCATTCTTTCCCAAAATCCACCCCACCAGGGAGAAGCTGGTGGGATAAATTTCCACTTAATGCGGTTGACAACATGATTCTTTAATAAGTTTATCCCAGTCAATCATTTTTAAGAGCGAATTTGTACCAATAATAAAATTACTACCGTTATCAGTGTAGACAATTTCAGGTCTTCCTCTGCGTGCTATAAAACGTCGGAAAGCCAATAAAAAGTTATCTGTTGACAAAGACGTTAAAAGTTCAAGATGAATTGCCCTGTATACAGCACATGTAAATAAAACGATCCACGTTTTCGATCCATTTTTTTAAAAACAAAGGGCCAGCTAAGTCGATACCTGTCACTTCAAAAATAGAAGAATCTTTAACACGGTCCTTTTGGCAAAGGTGCGGATTGTACCGTGGAGGGCCTCGAATCAAATCTTCTACATTTAGTGCAGTTTTTCAACACTTTACGAATAGTTTTACGACTTTTCAAAATCCAGAAATTTTCTCGTAGCATTGCCATTAAAGTCTGAGTTCCGCAATGCATTTGTTGTTCATGTTTTTCCATAATCAGTTTAGAGACAACTGGATGTTCAGGAGGTAGGATTACAGGTGTTCTAAAATTTTCGAAGTCTTGTCTCATTAATATTCTTGACTTTACTCTTAAAAGACCAGATGAATCAACAAATGGTTTTAAATTTCGTAAGCGTTTATCCTTTTCTGTTTTAAAGGAGACCCTTTGCACAATTTTCCAAACAAGGACTTCAGCTGCATTCAATTCTTCGATTTCTAAGTTCTTTGACGTTGTTCTGTTTTTATCTCTGCAGTTGTCAATATACCTTTTTATCCAGGCTGTAACTCTAATTATTTTCTCAAAAGAAGAAATTCGTGAGAAATGCGAAAAATTCTTCATCTACATTTGTTAACGAGGATACAACTGTTTTTCTTCTTTCTCGATCAATCATATCTTTGTCAGGAGAAATATCACAAGTAGGCCAACAGTCTGGATTCAACTTCAACCATGCTGGACCTTCATGCCATCTTTTGGCTTTAATAGTTTCAACAGAACATCCTCTTGACGGAATATCCGCAGGATTCAAGTTGCCAGGAACATATATTCCATGCATCAGGATTAGTAAGAGCTCGTATTTCTTTCACTCTATTCATAACAAATACACCCCAATTTTCTTCATTCTTAATCCAGTACAATGTGTTCCTTGAATCTGTCCAATAAAACGTAGGTATATTTTCTTCCTTCAAATCTTGTTTTATAGATTTCATTAATCTTGCACCAACAACACAAGCTAATAATTCTAGTCTACAAATTGATGTGGGTTTTAGAGGAGCAACTCTAGATCGTGCTTGAACTAAATGACAAGAAACTTCATTTTCATTTTCATTTCTTAAATAAACGCAGGTTGCATATGCCATTCGGGATGCATCACAAAATATATGAAAGGATAATTTCAATTCAGAATCAATATTAAGCATCATCTGTCGAGGAATTTTTATTTCTGTTAAACGATTTGCATCATTTTTCCATTTCATGTATTTCCTTTGAATTTCTTCAGGAAGAGCTTCATCCCAAGTTACTTTTAATTCCCAGCAGTTTTGTAACAGAATTTTAGGAATTAAAATTATAGGGCAGGTGAATCCAATAGGGTCATAAATTTTATGAATTTCAGACAAAATTGTTCTTTTAGTAACAGGTTTGTTTTTTGATTCATTTAATCCCTTAATATCACAACTTAATGTGTCATCATGCAAATTCCAAAGAAGTCCCAAAATGTTGACCGTTTTAGCTTCACAAGGATCATCGAAAAAACTCATTCTCATTTAATTTATCAAGCTTCGACTGTTCTAAAATGGGTTCAACAACAAATGCATCCCTTTTATTTCGAGGATAGTTATATGCCCACTCTTGTAATTCAAATTTAGCACTTGCCAAAATTTCAGTGGCATCATTTTTTAACTTCTTTAATTCTGATTCATCATTCACACTTGTAACTAAATTATCAACGTACCAGGATTCTACTAATTTATTAGCACTCGCACGATAATTTTCTGGTACTTCATTCATTAATTTCGTTAGTGTTGCATTTAAGAGAAATGGACTGCTGGTTATTCCAAAGACCACTCTTCTATGCCTGTATATTTTCAAACGCTCAGAATTTCCCTGTTCCCACCATAAAAATCTTAAATAATCTCTGTCTTTAGGATTAAGTGCTATCTGCAGAAAAGCCTTCTTAATATCAGCGCTCACGCCAATTTTTCCCAGTCGAAATCTATTTATTATAGCTGGAACAGTATCAATCAAATTTGGACCCTTTTCCAAACAGTCATTTACGGAAGGTGATCCTTTAGTTCTTACGGATCCATCGAAAACCGGTCTTATTTTTGTCGTGGTGGAATTCATTCGAATAACAGCACGATGGGGTAAATAATGAGAGGGGTTATTAACTTCTTCCTCAGGAACAATCTCTATTATTTTATCATCTTCCCAAGATTTAAAAATTGCGTTATAATCTTCTAAAAATCCCCCATCCCTTAAATTCTTCACTGTGCTCTTTAATCTCTTTTTCTGCTATTTCTCGATAGTTTGGAAGTAGGGAACGATTTTCAATCCAAGGTAAACAAACTTGAAACCTTCCTTCTTCATCTCTTTTCACATTGGAAAGAAAATGTGTCATTGTTTGTTTTTCTAATTCCCTTTTAGTTTGACTTTCTGAAGGGTCTAATATCCCAAGAGTATCAAGTTTCCATAAATCAGAAATTTTACTATCTGATACTAACATAGAAAATGCATAAGAACAATCATATTTATTTTCCATTTCTACGGGAATTTTCCCCATGATACTCCAGCCTAAATAAGTTTCAATGCAAACTAATCCACATTCTAACTTCTTTATTTTCCCTGTAAGCAATTTTCCCGCTATGTCTGCGCCTATGAGGATATGAATTTCAGAAGGAGAATGCTCGAACAACAATTTTTTATGCCTACCTTCAACATCATTCAAAAATATGTTATGGGTTTTTAACTCATTTAAATAAGGCTTGATGTTCAATTGTGGAATATCAGAACAAATATTCGCTTGATCAAAAGCTTTGAAGTTACACTGATAATCGTTTTTGATACTACTTAAACGTACAACGAACTGTTTATGAGTTTCAACCACTTCAGTTCCTCCGAACAGACTATGAATCACACTGCTTTCGTTAATACATTCGTACTGCATAGCATTAGCTAAGAATTTAGATACATAGCTTCGTTGACTCCCAGAATCAATTAAACAGCGGCAGTATTTTTCTGGACCATTGCCACGCACTCTTACAACTAAAGTTTGTAATAAAACTTTCTCTAAACATGATTTGTTCGTCAAATTGAGATCCTTCTTATTTGATTTTTTCTCATCTAAACTATTTCTGTCACAGATTAAACTGTTGTGTTTCCACCCACATGAATCACACTTTATCTTCGAAAAGCAATTTTTTGCCAAATGGTTACCCCTTTTAAGGCATAAATAACACATTCCGAGTTTCCGAAGTGACGCCTTTCTGTCTGTTACAGACTTCGGGCAAGCTTCGGAAGTATGTTTTTCTTTTTCTGAATCCTCGCAAAATATGCAGCTGTTAATTGAAACCTTTAACACAGCAGCCGTTGGAATAGAAATTTTATTTATTCTTTTTTCTTTAGGAAAGTGGCTCGAATTATGGTTGTTTATTTTATCTTGAATTTGTAGCATGGATTCGCGGCACTCAATTTCCGTTTTCAAGAACTCTAATAATTCGTTTACATCGAAATTATCTTTCGATTTCCTTTTTCTTTGGAAATCAAGATTCAGTTCATTCGGAATTAATTTTAATAAAACTGGTGTCAATAACGTGCCATATGTGCCAGAAGTTACATTAAGTGATTTTAAACTTCTTATCTGTATTTCGATATCATCATACAACTTACGTAATGCAAATATGTTGTTAGCATTCCTAACAGGTTCTAAATTTAACAGTTTTCCCATATGTGCATTTATAATTAAATCTGTTCGACCAAAGCGTGTGTTTTAAGTAACTCGATTGCGGCAAAATAATTTTCACTTGATAATGCAAAAACCACTAACAGCATTACAAGCAGCACCTGATAAAAATGATATCAAATAATTAAATTTGTCTGTATCTGTTAAATCACTATTCTGATGTATCGCATTGTCAAACTGGTTCCAAAATGATAACCAATTAACAGGATCGCCATTAAATTTATTGATCGATAATTTAGGCAATTTAATTTTTGAATGAGATACAGAAATATTTGAAATATCATTATTCACAATATTACCAATTGTATTCGAAACAGGAATTTCAGGTTTCCTATTCTCTTTTAACATAAATGTTAGTTTTGATTTCATGGAAATTATTTTCTCGGAATAAACTTCACAAGTTTCAAATTCCGATTCATATTCAGTAGCCTCAATTAATTCTTGTATTTGTTTATCTAATTCTTTTAGGCTGTTATATTTTGAATCTAATAAATCAATATTTTCATTAAGAATACACAAATCGTGTTCTGTTTCTTGGAGGTATTCTTTACAATTATTTATCAACTTTGTTGTCATACTCCTAACTACAGTTCGTCTTTTCTTTAATTCTTCTATTTTAGTAGACATGTTTAAATATTTCAGATAGAAAATATTTCAAATTAAAAATCAGTACTCTCAAATCATAAATAAACTTCTCAAATCAAAAGGAGATATTTTTTAAACATTCCTAAATCTTTCACTTCAATATAGTCTACATCGGCGGTCCCTGTTCGGGCGCCAAAAAATTTATATCGTTTCAATTCAGTAAAACAGATCATTCAAAATTCTAGATAAGCAAATGAAGAAAGGTTGCTTACCTTTATGATTCGCGTTCTTCGATTCTGGTCCGCCGCTTTTGTAGACTCCGATTTGGTTTCAAACTCATCTAAAATTGGCACTATTTTGTATGAATCACTTTATTTGACATTTGACACAAAAGAGGAACAATATCTAAATCATTACACTATCAAAAAACACTTCTAACTACTTAGCATCATTGTTCTACATATCTAACAGCGTCATTAGTCTACTGCGTCACTGTTCTAAAAGCATACACTTATCGTTGCCAGTTCTCAAAAAACAAACTTTCTTTTTCAATTCTCGTCGGTCTGGA